GTCTGCAGGAAGCAGTTACTGAGGGGAAGATGGGTGCTGAGAGGAAAATGCGTGCTGAGAACCGGCACAAACGGTGCCGGACACGCGGGAGGCTCCGTCTGCTGCGGAAGCGAGACGAGCGTGCAGACGTGGCCCTGGGCAGAGCTGGCCTTTGCAGAGCAGGGTTTTTCTCCTGGTAAAAGTGCGCTGAGGTCTGCCAGACCTGTGCATACTGCAGGCTTTGTCACGAGATGTAGGACACAACCCTTCTGGTCCTTCTTTGGCTTTACAGTGAAATAAGTGTAGTTAGCATCCAGCCCGAGTGACAGGCGGCTTCCTCCCGTCTTGTGCAGCCCAAGGTTATCACCACTTGCACTGGCTTCATGTTCTTACAGTTTTACCTAGTAGAATTAGTCCGACTTGGCAGAAGGTTTTTTGCTGCAGTCCTCAGCTGTTTGCAGGGCATCACTGGGAACTGCTTTCTGTTTGGCCTCTTTCTGTACTGACCTTCCTGGCTGTGCAAAGTAGACTGTCCTGCAGCATTTCTAAGTGTAATACAAGCAGCGTGATAGGGAACGGGGCTGAGAAGGCAACTGAAATAATTTTCCAACACAAACCCTACAACAGCTGCTAATTGTATTAGTCATATTTCAATTCTGGTCTAGCCCGTAGAAATCATTTTGCTTGATGTTGGCGTTGTAGGAGAGCCTACAATCTCTACCACTATGTAAACAACAAGAGGTAGAAGAATTCACGCTGGAGGGAGGGGAGGGAAACATCATGTCATGCTTAACAGATGTCTTCCTGGCTGATAGGGTAAAATAGCAATTCTTGCAGATTCTTACCTCTCTCTGGGATGGGAACTCCCACTAGATAGCAGGCAGAAGCCTCATGTTGGCCTGTGCACGGGCACACGCTTCGGGGCCTCGCTGGTCGCTTGCGCTCGGGTGAAGAGGTAAAGCTCTCTGTGCACAGGCAGAAAACGCGCCCGCAGCGCACACCGGCTTGACCCACGTGCTTCTGTTGCTGGTGGGGACATAAAAATACAGGAGCGTGTTCAGCTGGCTGGAACATGCTGCCAGAACTTGCCAAAGAAAGCGCTGTTCAGTAGCATCTTGTGCTGGAGTGACTCTTTTGTGATAACATCCCTGCACCATCCATCCATCTGTGCCCAAGAGATGCACTTGAAAATTGGGTTTGGTACTTAATGACAGTTTCGGTGGATGCCTTTCATTCTGTCAAAATAAATGGGACATCTGTATACCACTTATTTACAAAAAAGCACGTTGTGAAAGTCTGAAGCGTCCTTAGAGCTGCTGCAAGAGGTGGCCAAGAGCGAGAGGCCTGCAGTGGTGGTAGATACTCAGTGCTGGGTGCATTCAGTGCCATGTCTGGCTGGGGCTCCAATAAATGTGTCTTGTAATGGTGATTTGTGCATATTAATTGAGAAGGATTTCAGCATGTTAGCTCTATAAATAAACTGCTATCCTTCCAGGTGTTTTATTTGGATATGCAATTTTGAGAATCCCTGCTTGTGAAATTCTAAATATTTCCCTCGTGGGTGCTTGCTTGGCTGTTAATAATTTTTAAACAATGGAAACATCATCTTTTAGTCTTCCTTCTCTTTCATTTATTGCTTCATTATTTTAAGGCTCTGCCCAAGGACAATTTCCCATACAGAAGCGTCCTGAGACACAAGCATGTCAGCTACCAGCAGTTTCCAGCTGCACAGGTAGCCACATCAGAGCAACCAGGCAGCGGTGCACACGCCAGCAGAAAGTCCATAGGCATCTTTTCATCTGTTTTGCGGTTAATCACTTGCCTTGGTGCTTCTGTTAAGCACACGAGTCTTCTGGCTGTTTGGTATGGAGTACGTTCACAGTAGTGACACCTGAAGGGACCCTATTGTAGGAATTTGATTTTATTCACTTCTTTTATTCTGATTTTGTTCATCCTTCTTAGGAGGAAGATAGAGGCATCCAAAGCTAGATCCTCTTTTACTGGCGACATGCCAAAGTCGGATTTATTTTTAACAATATTTCATCTTCCCTGTCTTTCCAGTCATTTCAGGCATTGTCCCTCCTCCCCTATTTATGAAACTATATATGCGGCTTTCCTATGAGAAAGCAGCTGCTTGAAAATGCTTATGGATAACCCACAAGGTAACCTCCAAGTTCAAAGCTGCCAGCCCTGCAAAAAGTGTGTGCCAAGCACAGATGTCGGCCCCAGCATCACACCCGCTACCGTAGATCCAGGCGTCCATTTGCCTTGCCACGTCCCTTGCCAAACCCAGCTGCACACACGCGGCCCTGTATGCAGAGAGGAGGAGGAGCGCGCCCCGAGCAAGGTTTCTGCATGCTGAAGTCAAGCGTGGCTGGTGCAAAAGGGCCGGGAGAAACGGGACAGGCCGTGCTGGATGTCAGCAGGCACAAACGTCGGATATGGGCCCCTTGGTGCCGCCGGACGGAGGCTCCCAGTGTGTCCGGCTGCTCCGAGTGTTGCGATCCAGCAAGACTAGACACTGCCTTGGAGAACATGTGTTCAGACATGCTGCCCTTTAAATAACATGTAGCAGCATATCCATAGGAGTGTCAGAGCATCCAGCTTGTTGCTAATCATCATTAGTGGCTTTCGAGGGCTGAGCCCAGTCAGATCAGATGAAACCTTTGAAGCCCAAGTCTCTCCTCTGAAGAGTCCCAACTGCAAAGGGTCCATGAGTGTCGTGTTGTGCTGTCTTTAAGGTGTTTCTGGCTGGCATCATGCAATGAGCAGGAGATAGGAACACTAAGTCTTCCACATATGTACCCTCAAATATTAATTTCCTTCCAGCTTTAATAAGATTCCCATGAGGATATAACTGGCTGGATCGCAGAGCCCAGAGGGTGGTAATATGGAGCCGAGTCTGGTTGGAGGCCTGTGGCCAGTGGGGTCCCACAGGGGTCAGTACTGGGCCCGGCGCTGTTCAGCTTGTTCATCAATGACTTGGACGAGGGCACAGAGTGCACCCTCAGCAAGTTTGCAGATGGCACCAAACTGGCCAACACCCCTGAGGGCTGTGCTTCCATTCAGAGGGACCTAGACAGGATGGAGAGTTGAGCAGAGAGGAACATCATGAGGTCCAATAAGGACAAGTGCAGGGTGCTGCACCTGGGGAGGAATAACCCCAGGCACCAGGACAGATTAAGGGTTGACCTGCTGGAAAGCAGCTCCATGGAGAGGGATTTGGGAGTCCTGGTTGACAACAAGTTAACCATGAGTCAGCAATGTGCCCTCATGGCCAAGAAGGCCAATAGGATCCTGGCCTGCATCAGGAGGACCGTTGCCATCAGGTCGAGGGAGGTGATCCTGCCCCTCTACCCAGGTGGAGTCTCCTCCTCTGGAGATCTTCAAAACTCAACTGGATGCCACCCTGTGCCACGTGCTCCAGGTGTCCCTGCTGGAGCAGGGGGTTGGACTAGATCATCTCTAGAGGTCCCTTCCAACCTTAACCATTCTGTGATTCTGTGAAGCTCAGAGCACAGTAACTCAGCAAGGCTAAACCTGAAAAGGCAGAACATGTGGCAAGTGTTTTGCACATATCTTTCCATCTCTCGCCATTTAGAGTAAAAGCCCTTTGCCATAATATAGGTTAATCATAAGCAATAATTAGAAAGGAAGGAGAGGGCAGGCCAGTGAGTCCCACCTCCATCCCCGGAAAAGTGATGGAACGGCTCATACTGGCCATTGTCTCCAGGCACATGGAGGACAAGAAGGTGCTCAAGAGTAGTCAGCATGGATTCACCAAGGGGAAATCTTGCTTGACTAATCTGATAGCCTTCTATGATGGAATGACCAGCTGGATAGATGAGGGGAGAGCGGTGGATGTCGTCTATCTCGACTTCACCAAGGCTTTTGACACCGTCCCTCACAACATCCTCCTGGGCAAGCTCCGGAAGTGTGGGATAGATGAGTGCA